GTGTCTTTTCCTCTTAATACATTTCTATATTTGGGAAGTAAAATGATCCTACACTGCTTTCATCATCTAAGAGGTGCAATAAAGCTATTTTTAAAGGATTGTGACAATTGCTACTTCCATCAGTGAACATGAGAGTGCTACTAGCTAATTTTCAAACAGAAAGCATCACTGCTTCATGCAGACTTACCCAGATAAAGGGCTGTGGGCAGCACGCCGGCCTCAGCACAGAGGTTTCCTGTTTCTCAGCAGCCCAGAGGCAGAGTTTCCATGATTGCATGGGCGTAAACATCTCTGGGCACCCAACTACAGTGGAGTCTGGCTGGATTTCCAGTTTCTGGCCTCAAGATATTTCTGTTCATTGTTGCTTCATTAAACACACTGGTCCCATCTGTTACCCTAGTAGATCTGTCTTCTGGAGCACACAGACTACATGGAACCTCAGAAACAATACCTTGAATAACCCAGAAGGGAGATTCAGCAATGGTAGTGGTTCTATGCTCTTCTAATCAATGACTCTATCTACTGTCTGTCTTTCTGTCTGCATTGATTTTGTTCCATGCACAAGTCTCCATGCTAGGTGCTGGATAGATCTGAAATAAAGTATTGTCTATTGAGGAGACAAAGATCAGTATAAATGAAGTATTTATGGACAATTGATTCAATGAAGTTAGCAAACATCTGTTTGGTGACATCTGGCAGTCAGGCACTACTTGGGGACGCAAAGAAGGAGCTCACAGTCTAAAGGGGAAGATGCATTGATCACTTCAGAGAGGAAGTGATATTTCAGTTGGATTTTGAAGGAAGAGTAAGAGTTTGTCAGTGGAAAAGTGGGAGAAGGGCTGGTCGGGCCGAGAGAATGTAAACACAAAGACACGGAGGCTGGAAGGAGCTTGGCCTGTTCTGTGAACGCAAAGTCCGTGACAGCTGGACACAGGCAAGTGTTGAGGGTAGCGGCTCAAAAGGAGTTAGATCAAGACCATGTTTGTGAAGAGCTGAGACACCTGAACCTTCTAGTCCATAGGAAGCTAGCAAAGACTGATTCCATAGAGGGGCATAAGCAGAGCTACATTTTAGAGGATTAATACCAGTGACAATGTCATTGAAAAAAGGGAAACAATCAAAAGAAAACTTCCACCAATTCCCATCGCATTTATCCACCTGCCTGCACTGGTGTACATCCACTGTTCCTCCTCTTGCTGCATGGATGAACCGAGCGTTCCTCTGTCTAAAGTCAATCTCTCCGTGTGTGCACTAGATCTCTTCCCCTCCTTCCTACTCAAGCACATAGCTCCAGAAATTCTCCCCCTCTTGCCTACATTAACATATTTCATCTTTCTGCAGCATCATTGTCATTAGCCTACAAATATGCTGTTATTCTGCCTGTCTTGAAAAACTCTCTCTTGACCCTATTTTCTCTTCCAGCACTGTTCCATTTCTGTCCTCTTTACAAAACTCCTTGAAAGAGTTGTCAAATTCAGTGTCACCTACACCTCTTCTTGTCCTCTCCCTTAAATCCACTTCAGTCAGGCTTTTTCTCCCTGTACTCCACCAAAACTGTTGATCAAGATTCCCAGTGACTCCACATTACTAATTCAAATGGTCAATTTACGATCCCTTTGTGACTTGGCCTCTCCCTCCTCCTAGAAACACTTCACTTGGTTCCCAGGACCTTGCACACGCCTAGGTTTCTGCCTCTCTGACTGTTCCTTCTCAGTTGCCTTTGTTGATTCCAGCTCGTGCCCCGAGCCTCTTCATGTCCCTGTGTCTCAGGATTTGGACCTTGGCCCTCCTCCCTTCTCTGTCAACGTTCACTCCCTTTGTGACCTCATCCAGCCACATGCTGACCACTCTCAATTTTTTTTTTTTTTTTGAGACGGAGTCTTGCTCTATCGCCCAGGCTGGAGTGCAGTGGTGCCATCTCGGCTCACTGCAAGCTCTGGCTCCTGGGTTCACACCATTCTCCTGCCTCATCCTCCCGAGTAGCTGGGACTACAGGCGCCCGCCACCACGCCCGGCTAATTTTTTGTATTTTTAGTAGAGACAGAGTTTCACCATGTTAGCCATGATGGTCTTGATCTTTTGACCTTGTGATCCGCCCACCTTGGCCTCCCAAAGTGCTAAGATTATAGGCGTGAGCCACCGCACCTGGCCGACCCTCAATTTTATATTTCTAGCCCAGATCTCCCCGACTGAACCCCAGTCTTATTTCTCCAATTGTTTTCTGGTTTTCTTTTCTTTTTTCTTTTTTTTTTTTTGAGATGGAATCTTGCTGTGTCACCAAGGATGGAGTGCAGTGGTGTGATCTTGGCTCACTGCAACCTCCACCTCCTGGATTCAAGCAATTCTCCTGCCTCAGCCTCCCAAGCAGCTGGGACTACAGGTGAGTGCCACCATGCCTGGCTAATTTTTGTAATTTTTTTTTTTTTAGTAGAGACAAGGTTTCACTATGTTGGCCAGGCTGGTCTTGAACTCCTGACCTTGTGATCCACCCACCTCTGCCTCCCAAAGTGCTGGGATTACAGGCATGAGCCTCCGCACCCAGCCTCCAATTGCTTTCTTGACATCTTGACATTTAGATGTCTGTCTAGTACTTATATCAAATTTAACATGTCCAGGGTATCGTTGTAGGGTCCCTGTTGGTTAAAATATCAATTCTACCAGTTTAATGATTATGATTATGATTATGACTATTTTTAGTCAGAGTCTCCCTCTGTTGCCCAGGCTGGAGTGCAGGGGCGCGATCTCGGCTCACTGCAAGCTCTGCCCCCTGGGTTTACGCCATTCTCCTGCCTCAGCCTCCCGAGTAGCTGGGACTACAGGCGCCCACCACCACGCCCGGCTAATTTTTTGTATTTTTAGTAGAGACGGGGTTTCACCGTGTTAGCCAGGATGGTCTTGATCTCCTGACCTCGTGATCTGCCCAACTCGGCCTCCCAAAGTGCTGAGATTACAGGTGTGAACCACCGTGCCCAGCTCAGTTTAATGATTATTATTAGTTAGAAAGCAAGTGACATAGTTGGAGTATAGCGTACTTTGATGCTTTGTGGGAATAAAACAGCTTTAGGCAGCCTTTCCTGAAATAGCTCCCTCCTTCTCCCCAACCGCTCTCTCCAGTTTCCAACCCTTTATTGTGCTTTCTCTTCACAGCAGGTATCACACACTGAAAATATATTTGTCTGCTTATTCTCTGCTTTCCCTACCAGACGGCCTGTTCCAGGAGGGCAGACTATACTGATCTTGCTCACTCCATGTGCCCAGAAGAAGGCCCAACACACAGCAGGTGCTCTTTAAATAGTTGTTCAATAAATAGTTGAACATTGAATGCGTAATCTGATTTTTCCGAGAGTTAGGACGGCAGTGGTTTTTTTTTTTCTTTTTCTTTTTTTTTTATTTTTAAGACAGAGTTTCACTCTGTTGCCCAGGCTAGAGTGCATACAATCTCGGCTCACTGCAACCTCTGCCTCCCAAGTTCAAGTAATTCTCCTGCCTCAACCTCCCGAGTTGCTGGGACTACAGGTGCGTGCCACCACGCCCAGATAATTTTTTGTATTTTTTTTTTTTTTTTGAGACGGAGTCTTTGCTCTGTCGCCCAGGCTGGAGTGCAGTGGCACGAACTCGGCTCACTACAAGCTCCGCCTCCCGGGTTTACGCCATTCTCCTGCCTCAGCCTCCCGAGTAGCTGGGACTACAGGCGCCCGCCACCTCGCCCGGCTAGTTTTTTGTATTTTTTAGAAGAGACGGGGTTTCACTGTGTTCGCCAGGATGGTCTCGATCTCCTGACCTTGTGATCCGCCCGTCTCGGCCTCCCAAAGTGCTGGGATTACAGGCGTGAGCCACCGCACCCGGCCAATTTTTTGTATTTTTAATAGAGATGGGGTTTCACCATGTTGGCCAGGCTGGTCTCAAACTCTTGATCTCAGGTGATCCATCCACCCTGGCCTCCCAAAGTGCTGGGATCACAGGCATGAGATACCGTGCCCGGTCAGAATTTGCTTTTTTTTTTTTTTTTTTTTTTTTTTTTTTGAGAAGGAGTCTCACTCTGACGCCCAGGCTGGAATGCAGAGCGATTCGACCATGGCAATCTCCACCTCCCGGGACTGCCATCTGCCCCAGCCTCCCAAGTAGCTGGGATTACAGGCACCCACTGACACGCCCCAGCTAATTTTGTACTTTGCAGAGACAGGGTTTCTCCACGCGGGTCAGGCTGGTCTCAAACTCCCGACCTCAGGTGATCTGCCCGCCTCGGCCTCCCAAAGTGCTGGGATTACGGGCGTGAGCCACCGTGCCCTGCCGAATTTGCTATTTCTAAAAAGTGCCTTGGGTGATTCTGTTGCCTTTAGTCACTAGAAAAGTCACTCCGAATCAAACAAAGCTTGGTTTGACCCCAGTCTGTCACTTACTAACTGCATGACCATAGGGAAGTAGCTTCTTCTCTGATCTTGTTTCCTTCTCTGTAAACAATAGGCATGATCACATTCTCATGGAGCTGTTATGACAAATTAATTAAATTAAGCAATGGACGTAGAGTTCTTGGCATAATGCCACTTGTTCAGGTGGCTGCCACTATGATATTATTATTATTATTATTTTATTGTTATGCCCAAGCAGGAGAAGATTTTTCTCCCTGTAAGATCACTCTGAGAATCTCCTTAAAGTGGGGTTCTGAGACCAGCAGCATCAGCATTACCTGAGGGCTGGTTTAAAATGGAGAATCTCTGCGCCACCCCAGATCTACTGAATTGAAATCTGCACTTTAACAAGATCGCATTGAATGTTTGCACATTCAAATTTTAAAAGGACTGTTCAAAGTCACATGTGCTGTTTTCTTCCTGTCTCTAATTTCAGGAGTCTGCCCAGAAGGTTCATGAGCCCTGGCATCCCAGAATCTGAATCCTTCCTTAGTGACAGTGGCTCTTCACCGTTCTAAGTGCAGAGGAGGAAGCCCAGCTCATTCTGGGTGCACTTCCAGCTGAGGAAATAAGGAGGAGGAATTCCTGAAGCCCCGAACAAGTGCCTGGATGGATCCAAACTCCATCTTGCTTTCTCCTCAGCCCCAGATCTGCTCCCACCTGGCAGAAGCCTGCATGGAAGGTGAGAGAAGCTCATCTCCTCCAGAGCTGGGTAGAGGCTCCCAGTTTCCCTGGAGCCAGGTCCCCAGCTCCAGCCCTGCAGACCCCGAATGGTTTGGTGATGAGCACATCCAGGCGAAGAGGGCCAGAGTGGAAACCATCGTCCGAGGCATGTGTCTCTCCCCGAATCCTCTGGTACCAGGCAGTGCACAAGCTGGGGACAGCCCACGCTGCCCAGAGAAGGCCCGAGAGAGGAAGAGGAAGCAGAGCCTTCCCACACAGCAAGGCCTCCTGATGCCACTCCCTGCCGGGGACCAGGGCAACAGGAAGGGGGGCCCTCGTGTGAGAGAACAACTTCACCTGCTGAAGCAACAGCTAAGACATCTGCAAGAACACATCCTACAGGCTGCCAAGCCCAGGGACACAGCTCAGGGGCCAGGAGGCTGTGGCACCGGGAAAGGCCCTCTGAGTGCAAAGCAGGGGAATGGCTGTGGGCCTCGCCCCTGGGCTGTGGATGGTGACCACCAGCAGGGTTCCAGCAAGGACCTCTCTGGGGCAGAAAAACACCAAGAGTCTGAGGAGCCCAGGTTCCTTCCTTCTGGAGCACCAGATTCGCTGGAGATTCTGAGGAAAGAGCTGACCAGGGCAGTGTCCCGGGCTGTGGATTCAGTATTACAAAAGGTACTGTTGGATCCACCAGGCCGCCTGACTCATCTGGGCAGAAGTTTCCAGGGGCAGGTGCCAGAGGGTAGAAGCGAGCCCTCACCTCCTGTGGGAGAGGCCTGTGAAGATCCACTTGCTTTGGCTGCCTTGCCCAGGAGGGTCCAGCTACAAGCTGGGGTCCCAGTAGGAAAATTGTCACTGGCCAAGCCTCTAGATTCTCCTAGGTACCCTATCCCTCCAAGAATGATCCCCAAACGCTGTCAGGATCTCCCAGCAAACTGTCCCTTGACTGCACCTTCCCACATCCAGGAAAATCAGATTCTTAGCGAGCTACTGGGTTATGGATGCAACAATGGCCATTGGAGTAGCAGTCCTCCCCAGGACTCATCTTCCCAGAGGCACCCCTCCTCAGAGCCCGCCCTACGACCTTGGAGAACTACTAAACCACAACCATTGGTCCTGAGCCAGCAGCAGTGTCCCCTGCCTTTCACCTCTGCCCATCTGGAAAGTCTGCCCCTTCTTCCCTCAGTGAAGATGGAACAGGGAGGCCTGCATGCCGTCACTGAGGCACTGCCTTTCTCTTCGGTCCACATATCCTTTAATAGCAATTGAAGTTCTCATTGTTGGCTAGGTGCAGTGGCTCATGCTTATAATCCCAGTGCTTTGGGAGGCCAAGGTGGGAGGATTACTTAAGGACAGGTGTTCAAGACTAGCCTGGACAACATAGCTAGACCCCATCTCTAAAAGTAAAAAATTATCTGCACATGATGGTGCATGCCTATAGTCCTAGCTACTCAGGAGGCTGGGGCAGGAGGATTGCTTGAGCCCGGGAGTTGGAGGTTACAGTGAGCTATGATTGCATCACTGCACTCTAGCTGGGCAACAGAGATAAAAATAAATCAAAATATCATTGGCACTGTGCAGAGAAACAAGAAAACCGAAAGTTGAAGAGGAGGTGGTGACAGATCACTCAGGGTCTTCTTAATGTTGCTCTGGGCCTTCAGCTTAAAGTGGTGACCACATTCTGGAATTTAAGGACCTGGGAAGGTTTACTTACCTTCTTCTATGACCCATCGGGTTCTGCCACTTGACTTATTCCTTTGGGTGTAAAGGGTTTTGTTTTGAGACTCAAATAGGCTTCCTAAATACAACGAATACCCTACAGAAGAAAGAACCCCATAATTTGGTTGTCAGCTGCCCATACACTCAGGAGGAGAAGGTCAAAGGAATGACCTCATCTGAGGTATGGCCTCCCCAACCCCATAACTCTACAAGCAAAAATTCTGTACTGTGTAGATAATTCATAGGGAGTATATGAGGGACCAGAAACTTCTGGGCCAGATGGAAAAGGAGTTTTCCTCGGGGATTAAACCCAGAGAGGCAGCTGGAAATGGCCAGAAGTCTTCAGTTTAAGGAACAACTTCCAAGCTGCAAGGGAGTGCCTGGAGACTAGGGGCTGGGCATATGAAGGGAGAGGAGGCTCCCCATGAGGAGGCCTGAGTGGCCCAGGTTGATCTGCAGGGGTCTGGATCTTATTGCATCATCTTTGCAACCCTTAAGCAAATGCTACTCTCTTAATATATTTCCCAGAGTAACCCTCAGGATATAAATAATTGTTGAGTTAGGAGAAAAGTACCTTGGGGAAATACTGAGATGGTTTATTTTCTGCAGGAATTCTCAGAGCCTTTAACATGAGTAAGTGGAAGCTCTAAGAGGAGAATGTATACAGCCCCAAACCCATATGACCCATAGAATAATCCATTTCTAACAAGCGTCTTGCAGAACTTGAGTTCTTGAGAATATATTTTGGATGTTGCTTTTTAAGCTAGCTGTGCTCACGTTGCTGCTTCTTGTGGGCAGCTTTGAGGTGAATCTCCAGAGGCTGATGAGTCTGTGGAGTTGCATATCCAGGTGGGAACAGTCGTGTCCTTTGCCTGGCAGCTGCTGTGCGGGCAGTGGGATGGGGTGGGACCAGCTCATTACCATGCCAGACCCTGCCTTTGTGTCCTAAATGCCACGAGCGCCCCCTGCCGGTCAAAGGTGTTGTAAACACCCCCAAGTTAACCTGGAAGTCAGCGAGCAACTGTAAAAGCAACGCTGAGAACACTTCACTTGCCACCACTCTTGAAGGCAGAGATTCCACCACAGACAGATTTTCTTTATAAGAAAGGCTAACTGTCTGGGCCTTTGATAACCACTAGTTGACTCTCCATCAAATACAGACAGCTGCAAAAACACCTCAGGCAGATGGTCCCCCAGAATTTGCTATTTGTTGAGCACTTACATGTGCCTGTTGCTGCCCCCCGCCCAAATTGGGGATTGGGCTCAGAGAGCTTCTGGAGGTTTGGGGCCTATCCTAAGAAATACCTAAGCCAGGACTGGCTGCATGGGTGAAGTATTTGACTATCTTTGGAATGACTTGGGGCCCCCTGGCCCCTCAACTCTTCCCCCATTCCTGCTGCCTATATTCCAAGACCAGAGATTTATTCCTGTGGACCATGAAAACCACCTGAGAGCAAGCTGCTTTACAGCATAAAAAGAACGTTTACGTTCACATGACATCCTGTGACACAGGTAGGGCAGATGTGAAGATCATGAGGGCAGCACTGACAGAACACTTTCTCCGTGGCAGGCATTGCTACCAGCATTTCACACATATGTGCCCACCACCACTTAGCTACAATTCTGAAACCCATAAAGCCCTATGATTTTCCCCCCACCTAAGACTGATGCAATCTTTTTTTCGGTAGCAAAACTGGGCCTGCACTGACTGGAGGCTATTTATAGATTTTATCCCACTTAGTAAGTCATACATTTTGCTGCAGAAATGTGAATGTATTGGATTATAGACTGTCTCAGCTGTGGATGTTAATGAATGTGTGGTACACACATCATATTATCTTTATAAGCTAACAAATTCTGAAACCCGAACTCCATTTGGCCCAGCATTTCAGATAAGGGGTTTAGACCTGTATTATCTCACTGTTCTCAAGCATCCATTCTAAGATTGGGTATCTGAGAAGCAGAGACAGAGAAGGGAGCTAACTCGCCCAAAGCCCCAAGACACACTAATGAGCAACCAGGATTCAAACCCAGGATCTGATGGCCAAGTACAAGCTTTAATCACTATACTGCACATCTTAGCAATGAGGCTCAGAGTAGTTAAGTGGCTGGCCCAAGGTCACACAGCTAATAGGTGGCAAAATCAGTGTCTGAAACTGGGTCTTTGGAATCCCAATCCAGGATTCTTTCCACAGCACTTGTGGATCTGTAGGAAGGATAAGTAGGGCTGATGGGGTAGCATGGAGGGGTCTTCTGTGCAGCAACCAGGTGCCTGGGCCACCTATAACTAGTCAGTTGGTCTGGTTTCTTTTGGTTAAACAGATTCATCCTATGTGGAAGTCTTAATTGTCTTAAGCTACAACTCTCAGATCTGAGATCCCAAGTTACTGTGTGTAATGCTTCTCACCCAGCCTAAGGAGTGTCCCTGAAAATGCAAGGCGTTTTTGTGTAAAAATCTTTTTTTCATTTCTGTCCTGCTCCAGTGCTAGGCAGTCACATCACAATTCTCCAACTCTTGTTAAAGGGGAAGGAATCTATCTGTTCCCAGAGTAAGGTATAGTTTGGAATATAATTTCCATATATGTGTATGGATTAAGGTTGACCATTCACTCACTCACTCCTTCACACAACACATATTTATTGAGCACCTACTATGTTCCTAGAACTGGGCTAGGCACAAAGATGAAAAGATAAGGTCCTCACTCTCAAGGAGCTCACAGTCTAAACGAGGAGACAAACATGCAGTAAAAATTCCAATAAGGTCATTGCTGACACAGTTTGTACAAAGGGTCTTCATAGCCCAGGGTAAGGAAGGCCTAATTTGGCAAGGAAGGGTTTAACAGAGGCGGGAGCTTCTGAGCTGAGACCTGAAAGATGAAGGACAGTTCTGCCAGGCAAATGGAGAGTGGGTGCCGCCCAACCATTTAAGCTTCTTGAGCAAGAGCAAAATGTGAGCTGGTACTCAGCCTGCTTAGATGTTTGCTGGTTATAAAGGCAACACTACAAAGGCAATGATAAGAGTGACAGCCAGAATGGGGACCACCTAGCTTATGCTTCTCGTTTTACAGCTGAGGAAACTGAGGCAGAGGGGGAAGTAAATCTCCGCTTGGGGCTTTGAAATCGTTTATCTGGGACAGAAATGCCATCTCTTCCCATCCCACTGGGACACCACACACACACACACACACACACACACACCAAACTGTATTTGACATCATCTATGGTACATAACTTTTCCACATCGAGATGGTTTTCACATCCTGCGACTTAACTGTGCACATATGGCATTCAGCTTATTTGACCAGAGTTTCCAGAGATGGAAAAATGGAGGAAATACACAATTCCAATCAGAAAAACAAAACGAAATCAAATAGAAACCACAGGAACAAGGAATTCACTAGTTAATTGATAAACTGGCATTTTAAAGTGTTCATTTTCCTTGACACTGAGATAAATCCAGGAAGGTCTAAACCCTGGTCACTTGAAGAAGGCCAAACTAATGTTTTTCTTCGCACGATATCCCAGCTCCAACCTCCTGAAGGCTTATTTTCCTGATGTTCAGGTAAAGTCACTCAACTAAATTGCAGCTTCTGCAGAACTCCCACATGACAGTGTTTCGCCTGGTGTGAGGCAAGTCCTACGTCATCATATGTGCTCTTCAAGCTCCCCTTAGTGTTGTTGATGGAATCAGTGCAATGTCCAGTTCTGGGCTGAGACTCTACCCAAATAATCATGAATAACTTCAGGCTAGAAAGGTTGGCTGTCTAAATTCTTAAGCTACTGACCTGTAGATAATTCCCCCAAACAGAAACACATGGGAAGGAAAAGTAGAGGGAAAGAGAAACACTAGTTAGTGGCCTTTTTGGCTAGTTTTCTGCCTTGGCTGGGGACACTATGAAAAAGAAAAAATAGGCTGGGTGCAGTGGCTCACGCCTGTAATCCCAACACTTTGGGAGGCCGAGGTGGGCAGATGACCTGAGGTCAGGAGTTTGAGACCAGCCTGACCAACATGGTGAAACCTCGTCTCTACTGAAAATACAAAAACTAGCTGGCGTGGTGGTGGGTGCCTGTAATCCCAGCTACTCGGAGGCTGAGGCAGGAGAAGGAGAAGCATTTGAACCCGGGAGGCGGAGGTTGCAGTGAACAGAGATCACGCCACTGCACTCCAGTCTGGGCGACAGAGCGAGCCTCCATCTCAAAAAAACACACAAAAACAAAAAATCATATATATATGTGTGTGTGTGTGTGAGAGAGTGTCAGACACTGTCAAATTTATGTTCAAGTTGCTATAGTTCAAAACTGAGTGAAAGTACATACAGATGAAGTGTGACAATAAGGAAAATCAAACTAATTGTTGGGACCAGACCTCTCCTTTTCCAATAAAAGGTTCCTGAGGGCCTCCTTTACCTTGGGTGTTGGCTTAGGGGCTGTTAATACTTTCGGCCTACATCATTCAAGCTTTTCTTTCCCTCATATTCAGTTGGTTGGTTGATCCCTGAAGCAACCTCTGATTTTGATTTCAATTCATTCCACAATTCAAAGTTGCTAATAAACTGCTCCCTGACCTATACCTTGCCCTTCCCTTGGCCCTTTATCCAGGCAGAAGGCCCCAGGCCTGCCATGCAATCCACCTGGGTGCGGCAAAATCTGGCACCACACTGGTCTTGACCCCTAAGTCCCACTTAAACACCACATAAAGCTTTTCATGGGTAAAACAACCCTCATGAATCTAGCATATCAAAAAAAAAATTTGTTATAACGGGTACTGAAGCCAATTTAGATTTTTCTGAGTATAACTGAATAGGCTTGGAAAACAGCGGTGGCTTCGCTTGTTTTTTTAAAGGAAGCCCCTGTTAATGCTGGTTAAAGCCATGTACATGAACCCCTATACTGAGCTGGAAGCAGACGGTTCTAATTCTGAGCACCTCGTGGCAAATGTCTGACTGGATGCACCTCTTGTTTGTACAGTTCAACCGCTGCATTACCTCCCAGATGATCAAGTGGTTCAGCAACTTTCGTGAGTTTTATTACATCCAAATGGAAAAATCTGCCCGGCAAGCAATTTCAGATGGTGTCACAAATCCCAAAATGCTGGTGGTTTTCCGCAATTCAGAACTTTTTCGAGCTCTCAATATGCACTATAACAAGGGAAATGACTTTGAGGTAAGACCATGTACTGGGGTCCCATGAGGTCTGATGAGCGTCTTCCCTACATGATTTGAGTTTTAGGAAAGATCCCCCTTCTGTGTCTCCTTAAGTTACTGACAGCCAGGGCAGCCTGGGCCAATCTCTGTATCATCCACAAAGATCACAGCCTCAATATCTTCACTCGGGCAACAGGTGGAAGCAGCAAACTGAGTCTACAGCCAGTCTTCATTCCGAAGCTTAGGGAAAGGTCTGCCAGGTGTTACACCATCTTAGACTGAATACCCTGTCGTTATCAAGTTACATCACTTACTGACCTTTTTGCCTTAGTGCCAGAAGGCTCAGGACAGAATGCTGAGCTCAGTTGTGACACCTAGTCTTGGTCTAGGTTTTTTCAACAATTTCTATGCTTTTCATGATTTGGTTCTTATCTGTATTTTCCCTTGAAAGTGTATCTGTGGGCCTTCTATGGAAGGCCCCTCAAATCACCTCAAATCCTTTCTGGAAATAACAATAAACAACACTCAAGCTCAGTCCCTCGGGGATCCCTATGAAGGCACACTGGTGGCACCTCAGAGGTAAAGCATCAGTGAAGGGTGAGCCTAGGTGTCAGTGGTGCACATTCCTAATCGAGAGACGCATGTTGCCTCATGCACAGCCGACAGCTCTGTTAGGCTGGCATCTGATTCTGCAGGTGCTGGGTATATCTGGTCACAGATTACACTTCCATCTTCTTGCTTTCTCCCTTGACTGTGATCACCAAGAGCGGTTTATTGATACCTCCAAGAAATACAAGAACTGTGGTCATCCACTGGTTGACTGGTCAGTCAGAATACGTTTGGAAAGCTAAGGCCACCTGTAGGGAAAATTGTCCATGTCTCCCTTTCTGAGGCTCAAGGGGTCAGGGCCAGTATGGGACAGGCAGCACTGCCGCATCTTTCCACACAGGGTGCTTATTTGGCCTGCAGTGGCAGCAAGCCCCACGCCAAGCTGGGTCTGGAGCTTGGCGGTGCGGCAACCGATCATTCATGGTGCCAGTCTGCGTTAGGATTCTAGAACAGCACCCCTGTCAACCGGCTCTGAAAGCAGGAGTGTAAGCTCTTCAGAGCCAGCCCTAAAAGGCAGTGGAATGAGGTATGACAGTCAGAAGCTTGGGGGCACTCCTTCCACAGTTAGTACTAGGGAAAAGAATACCAAAGTCTCTTTGAGCCACAGATTTACTTTCAGTAAGATTTTCTGACCTACTTAGTAAAAAGTCACCCATTAGCGGGATCAGCTTCTCCTACAAAGGAAGTGTCCTTAATTCACCTTCTCCCAGGACTTTCTCATTGGAGCTGTCATATCAAGGTTTGTGTCTGATGAGGGAGCAGAGGATTCCTAGGGTTGCAGAATCAGGGGCCGGTAGAGCAGGGATGCTCCTAGCCCACTTCCCAAGAAATAGGCAGCATCCGCTAGTGAGGGCTCTGGCACCAGTGCTCCCCAACCTCACGTCTTTTCTTTCTTGTGGGTCTCTTTGGAAATGCAGGTTCCAGATTGCTTCTTGGAAATCGCCAGCTTGACGTTACAGGAGTTCTTCAGGGCTGTCTCCGCAGGGAGAGACTCAGATCCTTCCTGGAAGAAACCCATTTATAAAATTATTTCGAAACTGGACAGTGACATCCCAGAGATATTCAAATCTTCCAGCTATCCCCAGTAGCTGTTTCGGGGTTAAGATCTCACAGTGTGAGGAGTGACTGGCTAGGGTTTCCTGGGTTTGTCTTAAATGGCAATATAGCTGTAGTCATATAAAAAGGGCACAAGGAAATCTCCTCTACCAAAATAGGTACTATTACTATTTTGATCATTTATTTCCCTTTCCAGAATCATCAGAAATTGAACTTTAACTATAAAATGGACTAATTGTATTGGTAGTATATTGTAAAAGGAACACAAGTTTTCAATCAGAAGACTTGAAGCTCAACTCCATTGTTTCCAGGTGTTGTGACCCTGGGAACTTCCTGGTATCTCTGCATCTGTAAAATGAGGCTGTTAAGGATTAAAGGACAGTATGTCCTATGCAATGTTCTTCACACACAAATGTTAGTTTTTTGAACCCCTCTTTCAGATAAGGTTATCTTATTAGGGGTTTTTACAAATTGCTGTTTTTAGTCTCCTACTTATAAAACGCCATCTATTTGCTAGATACTTTCACATACTTTATCTTTAAGCTTTTCACCCTGAAAAGTAGTTATCATCATCATTTTTAAAAATGACCAAACAGAAGCTTTAGAACTGCAAGGTAACTCGCCAAAGCCTATGAGGCCAGGGCATCTGGGTTGATAGGGACAGTCAGGAGCCTGGAGGAACCAAGACTTTCTGATGCCCGACTGCATGCTGGACCCATCTCCTGCAGCTAACTCAGGATCTCAGGCAGGACCCCACCCCTAGTAAGCATCCAGCGCTGACAGGGCACCATCGCCGGACAACTCTTGCCCATCACTTAGGAGCACTTCACCGCCCAAGATTTCTGCTGATCATTTCAGCAAACTCAAGACAAACTTTCTGCAGGACTTGAGTGTTGCTGTTTATTCACATTTGTCTGCTGGAAGAGTTTATCAGCTGGATAATGCAAATAGTCTCCAGTTGACCACTGCAATTGGTGCCCCAACCTCATATATGCAGAAGCTGAACTTCAGACTGTGAAAGGTAGAAAGGGCCTTAGAAGATCATCTGGCCCACGCTGCTTAAATTAGGAAGGAAGAACTGTGGTCCAGACAGGAGGCTTGCACAGGCTGTGCACAGCCTTGCAGATGATAAATGGCATAACTGGGACAAATGCAGCATCACACAGAAATGGAAATTCTCCCACTCCGTAACAAAATTACAGTCCATGGCTGACCTTCCACTGATGAAGGAATTCATGAAATCAACATTTACCCCACTGCTGGCCCAACACAAATTGTGACCCACTCTTGAGCATACAGGCAAGACACGTACAAAGCTGAGTAACTGCATCTGTCTTCTAAGCTAGTCAGGATCAAGTCTTTGTAAGCACTGCCAAAGGTACGCGGGGTTGGGTGGGGTAATACATAGCTTGGGCTTTGTAGTCCTGATAAGGGGTGTCTGTGAGTTCATGAGCTTCTTTCCTGTCTATATAAAACAAGTTTCATATTTGGCTACTCAAATTCCATGATTTTTCTGTTGGGGCGCTGCTGGAGCAGATGAGATAAAATCCCTAAACTATTACTAGAACTATCAGCATAAAAAGGTATGAAAGATGAATTTTCCTTCGAATTTTCTCTTCAAACAGCTGAAAGGAAAAACAAAACAGACTTAGCCCAAACCCATCTTTACAGGCTAAAGGTTATTAAGTGCCCTCCAATACATCCAACTGCACTCAGAAGATCTTTGCCCTATTTTCACAAAAATGAAGGAATCTGCCAAACCTAAGTTTTAAACACAGGCAAGCATGGAGTGCTCTGAGCACGGGCAATCAATTTTCTGTGTCTGGAGACAGTAGAAGAACCCTCTATCCAGAGTGACATTACATACCTAAGTTAGGCACACAGGGGAAACAAGTTCACATGATTGTCCAATTGAGAGCAGCCCTTCTTCTGTCCCAAACCTGAAATTCATTAGTGTGTGTTTAAAGGCTGAGCCAAGTCACCTCCAGGGCAGTGAACCTTGTCTCAGGGACCAATTAGATGAAATGTACAAGCTCAAATTGAAAACATTTGTGTATTGCACTCTTTCCAGGAAGTGTTCTCTAACCACTGAGCTAAACACAGAAGAATGTATAAATATATATGCTCTGCCAACAGAAGAATTCTATTATAATTTTCTGTTTCTACCAAGTGTGTATCCCTCTCTGTTGGAAACACATGGAGTGTAAGCTGAGTGGGTTATTATTTTCTTTTAGCAATCACACTTTGCCAAAGATCTGGTCATTCTTTCCATTAAGGTATATGAGTGCACTATTTTATTTTTTTGAGACAGGGTCTCACTCTGCCACTCAGGCTGGAGCACAGTGCCACGATCACAGTAGCCTCGATCTCCCAGGTTCAAGTGATCCTCCCACCTCTGCCTCTCGAGTAGATAGGACTACAGGCACATGTCACCATGTCCAGCTTATTTTTTTAAATTTTTCTGTAGAGATGGGGGTCTCACTATGTTACCCAGGCTGGTCTTGAACTGCTGGACTCAAGCAATTCTCCCACCTCAGCCTCCCAAAGTGCCAGAATTATAGGCATGAGCCACCATGCCCAGCTTTGGGTGCTACTCTCTCCTAGATTAGACATGTTCAAATACTGCATAATTGTCCAATTTTTCAATGGTGGACTACAGGGTCTGCACTGTGGTTCATGATGATGGCACTACTGAGGAGTCAATGCCCAATTATCAATTAAAAGCAGGCAGTTGATTGGTATTCCATGGAGGAAAATGTTCATAGGAACCTTTATTTCAAACACGGTTTCATATAGTATACAAATCCCAAACCAGACTCAAAAGGTGAGAGGCTGAAGGCATCTCCTAGACATGTAAGGCGTACCTAAACAATTTATTTTCCATCAGAGAATGAGCAAAGCATAAACAGCAAACAGATAGCACAGCACTCTTTAATAAAGCTCTAACACCCAGCCCTCTTACATAGGTCCACTTTTAAAAGATTGTCTTTGCTCTCAATGACAAAATATAGAATCCTCAGAAAAAAATAATTTAAAATTGCACTTCCCTAACCTAATTTTACAAGTGTCTTGAAAATATATCTTTGGCTGCACACGGTAGCTCATGCCTGTAATCCGAGCACTTTGGAAGGCTGAGGTGGGAGGATCGCTTGAGCCCAGGGGTTTGAGACCAGCCTGGGCATGTGGTGAGGCCCCGTCTCTACCAAAAAAGAAAATACAAAAATTAGCCAGCATCATGGCATGTGCCTGTAGTCCCAGCTACTTGGGAGGCTAAGGTGAGGATCATTTTAGCCTGGGAGGTTGAGGTTGCAGTGAGCCGGCAATCATGCTACTGCACAGCCCTGGGCAACAGAGTGAGACCTTGCCTTAAAAAAAAAAAGAAAAAAAGAAAAGAAAAGAAAGAAAGAAAAAGAAAAGATAAAAATTATTTCTTTTAAAAGTCCTAAAGGCCGGACGTGGTGGCTCACGCCTGTAATCCCAGCACTTTGGGAGGCCAAGGCAGGTAGATCAACTAAGGTTGGGAGTTCAAGATTAGCCTGACCAACACGGAGAAACACTGTCTCTCCAATTTTGTATTTTTTGTAAAAATACAAAATTAGCCAGGAGTGGTGGTGTGTGCCTGTAATCCCAGCTACTTCGGAGGCTGAGACAGGAGAATCGCTTGAGCCCAGGAGGCAGAGGTTGCAGTAAGCCGAGATCGCGTCATTGCACTCCAGCCTGGGCAACAAGAGTGAAACTCTATGTCAAAAAAAGAAAAAAGTCCTTACAAAATTAGCCAAAATTTTGGTAACCAGTTTTCTGAAGTCCTAGATAGTCTAGATTTTCGTAATAACTGATTCTAGTCCTTTTATTTACAGTTTTGATCCTTTGCTCTGTAAAGCAGATCATAGTTTGATAATACATACAATCAAAACAGAAATTTAAAAAATCCTTTGATGTTTTTACACAAACTGTTAAGTATTGCACAGATTTCACATAAAGCAAGATCATCAGACAAGATAATGAAACAGTGACAGGCACGAAAGAGATACTGAATACTTTAGCTAGAACAATATAGCTCTATCAGGCTGAGGATTTTATACATTTGAATTTGAGTTCTGTGTAAGTCTTAACTGCTTCAGGGATTAAAGCTTTGGGGTGGCAGGAAATGAACTTGTGACAATATGGCAAATATAATGCATTTCATGAAAGTATTGTATACAATATTCGTGGTCAGATTTACCACAAATATACACATATACACCTGTAAGGTATAAGTTCAGATGATCTACTTGAGAGTATTAATAATACATGCTGTACCTCTGAGGTAGATCATGGTATCTACATTTACAAAGAGTTACTAAGCACTCACCTGTGGAAGAAGATGATTCATGAAAAAGTATTTTTCAGGATTAGACAATTCCTACACAAAGAAAAAGCTTTTTTTTTTTTTTTTTTTTTTTTGAGATGGAGTCTTGCTCTGTCACCCAGGCTGGAGTGCGGTGACGCGATCTCGGCTCACTGCAGCCTTTACCTTCCGGGTTCAAGCGATTCTTGTGCCTCAGTATCCCGAGTAGCTGGGATTACAGGTGCATGCCACCATGCCTGGCTAATATTTGTATTTTTAGTAGAGACGGGGTCTTGCCATGTTAGCAGGCTGGTCTTGAACTCCTGACCTCAGGTGATCTGCCCGCCTTTGCCTCCTAAAGTGCCGAGATTACAGGCGTAAGCCACCGCACCTGGCCCTCTTTGCAATAACCTAAGAAGTATATATAACCAACTGCCTAAGAGTTGAATGCTCAGTCCTATTAAAAAACAAAACAAAACAAAACAAAACAAAAAAACGCAAAACAGATGCTAGCCTCCAGAGGAAGGGAGTGTTTGATGACCTGCTGAAGGCAGGTGGACAATGAACACAGTAAAGGAATAACCCAAAACGTCGCCAGTTTGACATGTCCATCTGCTCACTAGGGGTCTGCTTTTCTTTCACTAAGAGTTTTTCAGGGTGATTTCATTTCTCACCATCTCACCCCTTCATGCTCAGAAACTCTTG